AAGATACATCATGTACAGGTACAAGCTCCCAGTGATAAATGTAAACATATTGTATACCTAAAATGTACCAATAAAAGAATTTAAGGAAAAAAAAGTGTGATCCATTGTTTCCTAAAAGAATTTCAAAGCCTTAGCTGGGTGTAGTGTCACATACCTGCAGTCCCAGTTATTAGGAAGGCTGAGGCAAGAGGTCACAAGTCCAGTTTAGGGCATTTTAGTGAGATCTTGTCTCAGAATATTTTTTTTTCCTTGTGAGACAGGGTCTTGCCACATATTCTAGGCTGGCCTCATGGCAATCCTGCCTCAGATTCCCAGAGTCCTGGGATTGCAGGTATGCACCACCGTGACCAGCTCCAGAATAGAAAAATTTTGTTTTGTTTTGCTGAGCAATGATGTGGAGTAGGTTAGGTTTATTAAATGAATTTCCACTTAAGGTATTTTCAACTTACTTATAGGTTCATTGGGATATAAATCTCATAAGCCAAGGAGCATCTGTGTTAACAAATTTCCTTCCAAAAAGGTTCCATCAATTTATACTTCACTGATAGTATATGAGAGTAGTTCCTTCCCCCATCTTCACTGACAAACTTTAGTTTTTTCCAGAGTAATAGGTAAAAGTAAATTTTATTGTTTTCGTTTAGTTTCTTTTGGTTTTCAGAAATCCTTTTTTTCTTTTTCCCCATTTAAATTTTGTGTTACCCTTTTATACTTTCAGTATTTTCTCTGAAAAGACATTTTTCTAAATTGTGTAACAAGTACAGTACTTTTGGGGAGGGTGTTGATCAAGTCTTTTTCACATATTTTTTCTTTTTAAACTTGGTTGCCTTAGGTCAAACTAGTATTTGAGTCAATTCCTCCATCTCTGTGCTTTGATGTCTTCTGCAATTGCTTTAATTATTTGATCAGTAGTTTTTCCCAAAATGGTTCCTGTCTTTTTTTTTGTACCAGGGATCAAACTCGGGACCTTGTGCTTGCAAGGCAGGCAGCGGAACCACTGAGCTAAATCCCTGGGCCACTGGTTACTGTCTTTAGGGCATGATCCAAAGCTGAGTTTAAAATCTTAGATTCTGTTTTTTCAATGCTGTTGAAGTCACATAAGGATTTGCTTCCAGAAATCTTGCAGGACCTGTGTAGCAGGTCATAAAAGTCTAGATTTCTTTTTCCAGGCTCACATTTGTCTTGAAAGGATTGTGAATTCACTCTCTGGGAACATAAGCTGTTTTGGTTTTGAACAAGGAGGTGCAGAAGTTTTATTTTCTTTTTTCTTTTTTTTTGGTACCGGGGATTGAACTTGGGACCTTGCACTTGCGAGGCAGGCGCCGGAACCACTGAGCTAAATCCCCGGCCCCAGAATTTTTATTTTCATCTAAAGAGCAGGACTGGATAAAGGTACCTCTTCTGCTATAACTGAAAGTAATATTGTCCTGGGGTGTTGTATCTATAATGAAATTCTTCCAGTGGGTCTTTACTGAAGACTCTTCAAGAGTTCTGAATCTCAGTGCCACAATGTTCACATTTATTATGTTGCAGTCTGCTGTTGGAATCAGAGAAGCGGGGTCCTGTATCAAAGCCGCCAAGGGGTTGGCGATTTACCTCAGTGGTTCCTCCACCTGCCTAGCAAGTACAAGGTCCCGAGTTCGATCCCGGGTACCAAAAAAAAAAAAGCCGTTGAGAGTTGAATCTTGGTGCAGTGCCTTTTCATGAATGACAGTTGAAAACTTGGCACAGTTGAGCCTTCTTAGACCTTTTCCCTCTATCTTTTGCTTCCTGTGAAGACTTAAATCCTGGTTCCTACCAGAGCTGTGCTCTTGGAGATGCTTCCATGGTAGCTGGGGCAGAGGCTTGTGGATTGCTTTAAAATTCCCTGGGGGTTTTGATTTTCTCCCTCATAAAGCACTATTAAAGAACGATTGCTAGTGGGATCTGTGCCTCCAGCACTGGCCAGTGTTTCCAGGAGCTGTTGCCTGGTGTTATCCCATGACTACCTCCCCACCCAATCTCCAGAATAGAAAATTTTTTAAAAGGACTGGGGATGTAGTTTAATGATAGATACCCTCTGGTTTCAATCACTAATACTGTGCCTAAACCGAAAAAAATCAAGGCCTTAGTAGGCCTTGTACCACAACAGTGACTAATACTTCATCTTTATTTTATCACCTCAATCACTATTTGTGCTTTTTTTGGAGACAGGGTCTTGCCATGCAGCTCAGCTGGCCTCAGGCTCTCCAGTTTGGGGATTACAGGTGTGTGCCCCCACACCTGGCTTAAGAGTGATTTTTCCAGTGGGGTGTTTTAAGGATGTGCAAAGACCCTGGTTCATTCATTCTCTCTCTCTCTCTCTGATGGGAATATTCTCTATCTCTTTTTTTTTTTTTGGTACCAGGGATCGAACTCAGATCCTTGAGCTTGCGAGGCAGGCGGCAGAACCACTGAGCTAAATCCCCG